CAATAACTGAGATGCGATGCGCTTGGAGCTTGTTAAAAGATTCCAAAGCATCACTGATTTACAAAAATGTAATTTATTTTGTCGATTTCTACGGTTTTGAAAAACGGAAAACTATATAATAGTATGAAGAGATGCAGTATTTTTTCTCTAAAAAAAACGTATAGCCTTTTTTGCTCTAAAATAATTAGGGGAGCTAGTAATGGACTATAAATTACCATTGAAATCCCTATGCTGCGTCACGCTAGGCACCACCCTGTATAGTTCCAATCAACAATTTAAGCGTTTCGTTTAAACGCCATAAGCTGGATTCACATGAATACGAAATCCGACGCATAGAACTATATACTCTGTAACTGGAACGGCATCGCTCGTAATCAGCCGTTGCCAGGGGGCGTGCCGAATTCTTGAGAGAGAGAGAGATGGGTAGAGGTAGGTACATATATTATATATATGGGTAGGTATCCCTTACCTTGTTCCACTCATGTGGGCTTATGGGATGGTTTATACTACGTCTTACATTTTGCTTATTTTTGTCTAAAATAAGTTATTAAAAGATTTGCAAGAATGGTCATGAATTGTGTTGCATATACGTGCAATCATTTTTATAATAAAAATTCAAATATTCAATTTCATGGGTACGTTTTGATAACATTTTTTAACCTCGACGCGCGCATTTAATATTTTTGCGTATGACGGCATTTGCACCGCTCATATTTCTTTACTAATGTACCTCACACTCATTTATACTGTCCTTATGAATGATAATTCTTCTTTCCCACTCTTTAATACTAATTCAATAGGGCATTCCACTCGCTAGAGAGCATCATATGAAGAAAAGCGTTAACGCCGCCAAAACCTATAAAGCCGTTTTGACTTACTAATTTGAATATGAAGTTCCTTATTATTTAATTTTTCACTGAACGTTATTATTGATACTGCTCACTAATGGGGCGAAAAATACCTTTAAGGATTGATTTTTTTATTTATTGCCGATTCCTTCGGCCTACAATGAACTGTACATTAGGAAGCGTCAAAGTGTAAAGATAAAATATAAAAGCATACACATATCGCACAGGTATATCACAAAAGTTAAGAGTAGAAAATATCACGGTTTGCATTTTCTACATCCATATCCATCCACATATGATACTGCCGATGGCACCACCATCACGTACAACTGGTGTATTTGGTAGTTACGTTGGCGGTGTGAAGGTATAGTTCCGAAAACAAAGGATCCATCGGGCTGTTGGAAAAATTCCAGTCTCGTACGAGAAACAAACGTTCCATAAGACCAGCATAAGACATTCGTGTCAATTCGTTTCCATCTAATGGCAATGCGGTGACCACTACGAGTAAATTGATTCCTAAACTCATTTTATTCTAAAAAAAGTGCTTTTTTTTAAAATTTACGTTTACCTCGACGCCGTAAAGGGTACGTTACAAACGAACACAACCAATGTTTATAACTTTATTTTACGTTAATAAGCAAATGGAATGCGTCGAGCCACCATGAATGACATTAGTTGACATTATACTTTTGTAACTACAAGAATCAAGTATGTGAGTGTGTGAGTGAGAAATGGCGCAGTTTACCACATTATTAAGTATATATTTTAAGATATTCCATTAACAAATAGATATTGGCACTTGTAAAAGCATCGACAAGCATTTATCTTTATCTTTATAAGGCCCCAACCTCCCAGTTTATTTACTTATCTGTATTTTTAACCAAATACGTGTGATCGCTCCTGCATATGCAATACAAAACAACGTGCCAGACAAGGATGAGAATACCTACGTTATGCTGGTTGCCTAAAATCATTGCGGCACGCGATTTTGGCGCTCGATGCCGTTCCAGTTACAGAGTATATAGTTCAATG